CCAGGGCAGGAGCGCAGGAGGCCCAGGGCAGGAGCGCAGGAGGCCCAGGGCAGGAGCGCAGCAGCCGCCACGTCACGGGCAGACCTTTTATTTTCCTCTGGAAAAGTGGAGATGCCGATCGAAACCTGCCTTTCCCACTGGGGAATCTGAACAGTCGCCTTCCAAGTCTCTCTGTGTGTTGTGTGTCTCTTCCTAGAGGCAGCTGGAACATAGGAATCTCGCTGAGTGTGACCTTTGCCAGTTGTCCTCATGTCACGCTGCGTGGCCATCACCTTACTCGTGTGTGGTCATTTCACAGGGATGGAAACCACACAGGTTTTCCTTTCCTTGTCGACGTGAAGGAAGTGCTTTGCCTCTGGCCACATTTCCTCAGCGCTGGCGACTTCCAGCGTTGGCTCGGGAGCACGTGGGGCCTCTGCCTGTCCTCCTGGTGGCCCCACGCTCCTCCTTGGGCGCTGCCTGAGGAAATCCTATTTACTCTCCCAGGGCCAGCTCAAGGCCTTCCTTGTGTCCCAGGTAAAGTGAGTCCTGCCGTCAAGCCCATCCAGAGCTCTGGGTTTGAGCTCCCATCACAGGGGCCATCAGCCCGGGGTCAGTGCCTTAAGCCCGTCTCTCGTGTCTGTTTCTCCAGCACACAGGACTCAGCTGTCACTATGTCACCATTTAGCCAATTGAACCAGAGCATCTATGCAGGGTAGTAGATTTTAACACTGCCATGGCACTATGGAAAGTCCACATGGAAATAATTTTTGTTCAGACGGAGGCTTACACAGTCCCCTTCTGAGAATGCCCCCAATTCTTCTTTGATCAATGAATCATAAAATGTCATATATGGGGCCAGCCCGGTGGCGCACTCGGTAGAGTGCGGCGTTGGGAGTGTGGCGGCACTCCCACCGAGGGTTCGGATCCCATATAGAGACCGGTCCGCTCACTGGCTGAGCGCAGTGCGGGCGCAACACCGAGGGTTGCGATCCCGTTGCCAGTCGTGGTATGGGCGCGACACCGAGGGTTGCGATCCTGTTACCGGTCACGAAAAAAGACAAAAAAAAAAAATGTCATATATGTGAGGCCGTGGGAAGGGCGCCACGCATGCCTGTATCTGCCACATCTGCATCCTGTGCGGACTGCAGAGCTTTCCCTAAATTGGTAAGAGCCCGACAGCTCCTTTTCTGGATGGGGAAGCTAAGGAACGAAAAGGTAAGTGGAGACCAGTGGTCGGTGGTTTAGAGATTCCCCCAGAAGGACTCAGGAGACCGCTGTGATTTGCTCTGGTTTGTGCGTATTTTAGAAGTGCGTGTATTTGATGTTTAAGATCTTAGAACTACTTGTCTGGTCTGCTGTGGCTGAAAGTTGCCTCAGAAGAAGTAAATGGACCACTGGGTTAAAGAATAGTCCTCTTGCAACTCAGGAAGGGTAGCGTCTGCTTGGGGCAGGTCCCTGGAGCATCACCTCCAGGACGTTTACCTCCACTGATGCGATCTGCCCGCTGTGCACCTGCTCACATTAGACCGACGCGACTTCTGCATGGCCTTCCCTCTCCAGAGGCTTCCAAAGGCCTCGGGGAAATGGAAAGGACACGAGTTAACATGGAAATCAGTACACACTCACACACTCACACACAGACACACACACACACACACACACACACATAGTCAGAGGACACAATGCGAGAGAAAACCCTGCTTACGACTGCAACAAAAATATTGAAAACAGGAATAAATTTAAGAAATATGCAAAGCCTGCATGAGGAAATTTAAAGCTCCACGAGAGACGTCATGCCGATGTGAGTGGAGCCGGTGTGTGTCCTCGGCATGGCGCAGCACCACGCCCCATCAGACCCCCAGGAAATGTGTGCACTCAACACGTCCCCACAAGTAATAACTGTAATGAAACTAGACAAGCAGATGGGAAAATTCATGTGCCAAAAAACCACCCAAGAATAGCCAGGAAAACACTTAAAAGACAAAATCAAGAGGGACTCAGCCCTACAGCACATCAGAATGTCCCAAAGAACCTCTAGAGGCAGAACGCTGTGGCAGGGGAGCAAGCACCGACGGAGGACAGGCCCGACACGGTGTCCAGAGATAGCCCTGAGCACCACGGGGGCTGGCACAGGAGGGAGGTGGCATCTCCCGTCAGGGGGCAAGGACGGGCTTTTCTGTCAGTGCTGCTGGGACAGCAGGGTGGCCGTTTGAAAGAGGATGGAATCAGGTCCACATCCGCATCGTACACAGACAGCAGAATCAGAGGTCCCAGTGTAAGAAACCAAATCAAACAGGTACTACAAGAAACACGGGCAAATTCCTCTTTAACCTCACTGTAGGGAGAACTTCCTAACTCTGACAAAATCCAGAGGCAAGAAAAGAAAAGATAAATATATTTTACTACATGAAAATGACAATGAATACAGGAAGTCTTTGAACAATTTTTCCTGTTTGTTTTGGTCAATCTGAAATTATTTCACAAGAAAACTAAACAATTTTTAAGTTTCTCAACCTAATAAAATCAGAGAAATGAAAATTGAGATAACGAGACCCATTTTTTTTTTTTGCCCATCAGACAGTCAAAATTTTAAAAGATTAATAATGTCAAGCGTCACACAGGACTTAAGGAAATGGGCATTCCGCTGCTGGTGGGGTAAACACTGGCCGAGCGCTTTTATACGACGGTGTAGCATTCTCTCTCCCCAAAATGTAAAGGGCAAAGAACCTAAATTTGTCCTACATAAAACACTGAGCTCATGTATGCTCAAGAAATCTGTTCTACGGACATGCTCATTTGCAAACCCAAGTACGTTCATAGCGAACATATTTAGGGTCTCTGCAGCAGAGTCAGTGATGGCGAGGAAGGGTGAAGCATTTGAACGCCACCCACAGGCGCTGGTTAGGCACAGTCTACTCTTCCTGGCTCCAAGCTCCACAATTGTTAAGAAAAGCAGGTCAGACACAGTGTGTACAGTTGATCCGATCACTTTAAAAACAAGACCGTGGTAAGCATGTGCCTGTGTGCCTGTGGGTGAATGGCCACAACGTCACAGTGTACCCACAGACGGCGGTCGGGGCCTCCTCAGGCGTGTGCAGAGGGCCAGGGGGACCGAAACGCTCTTCCACGCAGAAGGCGTCCCTGAGCATCCTGTGGACAAAATGCACAGGACGCTCCCACATGGGGGAGGTCGTGCCTTGGTGGGTCTGTCCTGGGCTGTAGGTCACTGAGGGCAAAAGACAGAGGTGAAGAAGTGGCATTCTGCCAAAAGGAATCCTGACATCTAGCTGGTGTGTATTTGAAAAATGGCTTTGTTGAAGTTGAAAACCCACGCCCCTCTGCTGTGCTGCACTTCCAGCTGGTGGCGGCGATCGTGTTCATCAGCTTCGGCGTGGTGGCGGCCTTCTGCTGTGCTGTGGTCGACGGCGTGTTTGCAGCGCGACACATCGTAAGTAGCACCTTCTAATTTTCTTCACAGTAGCTTTCCTGGGTTGGAAAATTCTACATTAAAAAGTAAACTTTCATTTTGCAGAACTCAGTTCAGACATCTTCATGGTTGGTCCCTCTACTTGTGTTTGCCAACCGTGGTCAAGCTCCCTGTCACTGTGTCTCATTTCCTGCAGGTGTGACACCCTCCCCACCACACACACC